AGAGATAGAACAGAGAAATAAGAAAAAAGAGCAAAGCCTACAAGAGATGTGGGATTATGTGAAGAAACCTAATGTGAGGGTCATAGGGTTACCAGAAGGGGAAGAAGACAAGCTATTTGAAGATATATTAGAGGAAAATTTCCCAGGCCTTGCTCAAAATCTCAATATACAAGTTCAAGAAGCTTAGAGGACCCCTGGGAGATTCAATGCAAACAGGAAGACATCACAACATGCAGTCATCAGACTGACCAAAATACCAACTAATGAGGCCCTTCTAAGCGCTGTAAGATGAAAGAAGCAAGTAACATATAAAGGAAAGCCAATTCCAATAACACCAGACTTCTCTAATGAGACTTTACAAGCAGGAGAGAGACTGGGCCCCATTCTCACTCTTTCTGAAACAAAACAATGCCCAGCCTATTCCTTATTCCCTGCAAAACTAAGTTTTGTATATGAAGGAGAAATCAAGACATTCTCAGATAAGCAAAGACTGAGGGAATTCACCAAAACAAGACCAGCCCTTCAAGAAGTACTCAAAACAGTGTTACCCATGGATCAGCACAATAAACACTCATGAATGTAAATCTACTCAAAGCTAAAGATCAAAGCCCAGACACTACAATGGCTCAAGAGAGAAAACAATGCAATAAAGTTCAACCCAACATAATGAACAGAAATCTGCCCCACCTATCATCTATCTCAATAAATGTGAATGGCTTGAACTCCCCACTCGAGAGACATAGGCTGGCTGAATGGATAAAAAAACACAAGCCAAGTATCTGCTGCCTTCAGGAAATACATCTAACCTGCAAGGATGCAATTAGAATAAAGGTAAAGGGTTGGAGAACAATATTTGAAGCAAATGGAAGCCAAAAGAAAGCTGGCGTGGTGGTGCTGATTACAGATAACTTAGTTTTTAAATCAACAAAAGTAATAAAAGACAAAGAAGGTCACTATATAATGGTGAAGGGTACAGTTCAACAAGAAGACATAACAATTCTAAATATATATGCACCCAACCTTGGTATACCCAGATTCATAAATCAAACTCTACTGGATCTAAACAAATGGATAAACAACAACACCATAATAGTTGGAGACTTTAACACCCCACTGACAGCACAAGACAGATCCTCCAAACAGAAAATCAGCAAAGAAATAATGGACTTAACCAGAACTCTAGAACAAATAGGCCTGACTGACATTTACAGGACATTCTACCCCCAAACCACTGAATCATCTTGTTCTCATCACTCATGGGTCATTCTCTAAGATTGACCATATCCTAGGACACAAGGCACATTTCAAACAATTTAAAAAGACAGAAATTATACCATGTATCTTTTCAGACCACAATGGAATAAATGTAGAAATCAATCCTAACAGGAGTCCTCATTTCTACACAAAGTCATGGAAACTAAACAACCTTCTGCTGAATGATCACTTCATAAACAAGGAAGTCAAGATGGAAATCAAAAGATTCTTTGAACTAAACGACAAAGGTGACACAAGTTACCAAAACCTGTGGGACACAGCTAAAGCAGTCCTGAGAGGAAAGTTTATTTCCATAAATGCCTATATCCAAAAGTTGAAAAGGTCACAAATAGACAACCTAATGAATCATCTCAAAGAGCTGGAAAAAGAACAGACCAACCCCAATCCCAGCAGAAAAAGTGAAATCATTAAGATCAAATCAGAACTAAACAAAATTGACAACAGGGAAACTATATGGAAGATTAATAAAACAAAAAGTTGGTTCTCTGAAAAAATAAACAAAATTGACACACCATTGGCTAGACTAATGAAAAGCAGAAAAGAAAAATCTCTAATAAGCTCCATCAGGAACAATAAAGGAGAAATTACAACTGATGTCACAGAGATATAAGATATAATTTATAAATATTACAAAAACCTCTATGCACATAAACTGGAAAATGTGGAGGAAATGGACAATTTCTTAGAAACACACAACCTACCTAGGCTCAACCAGGAAGAAATAGAATTCCTGAACAGACCAATATCAAGTACTGAAATTGAAACAGCAATAAAAAACCTTCCTAAAAAGAAAAGTCCTGGACCAGATGGTTTCACACCCGCATTTTACCACACCTACAAAGAAGAACTGGTGCCTATCCTGCAGAAATTATTCCACAACATTGAGAAGGATGGAATCCGCCCCAACACATTTTATGAAGCAAACATAACCCTGATACCAAAACCAGGAAAGGATGCAACAAAAAAACAAAATTACAGACCAATATCCCTTATGAATATAGATGCAAAAAATTCTCAATAAAATCCTAGCCAATCAAATCCAGGTGCTTGTCAAGAAAATAATTCATCACAACCAAGTGGGCTTCATCTCAGGGATGCAGGGATGGTTCGACATATGCAAATCTATAAATGTAATTCACTATATAAACAGAAGCAAAAACAAAGACCATATGATCCTCTTAATAGATGCAAAGAAAGCATTTGACAAAATTCAACACCCTTTTATGATAAAAAGGCTCAACAAAATAGGCATAAAGGGGGCTTACCTAAAAATGATATAAGCCATATATGACAAACCCACAACCAATATCATACTGAATGGGGAAAAATTGAAAGCATTCCCACTTAGAACTGGAACAAGACAAGGTTGCCCACTATCTCCACTTCTGTTCAACATAGTGCTGGAAGTCCTCGCTACAACAATCAGACAAGAGAGCGGAATTAAGGGCGTCCAAATGGGAGCAGAAGACATCAAACTCTCACTCTTTGCTGATGACATGATAGTATAACTAGAAAACCCCAAGGATTCAACCAAGAGACTCCCTGATCTGATAAATCAATTTGGTAAAGTCTCAGGATACAAAATCAATACGCAGAAATCAGAGGCATTCATATACGCCAACAACAGTAAAAGTGAGAACCAAATCAAAGACTCAATTCCCTTCAAAATAGCAACAAAGAAAATGAAGTACCTTGGAATATATTTAACTAAGGAGGTAAAAGACCTCTACAGGGAGAACTATGAAACACTGAAGAAGGAAATAGCAGAGGATGTAAACAGATGGAAGAATATACCATGCTCATGGGTTGGCAGAATCAACATTGTTAAAATGTCTATACTACCCAAAGTGACCTACATAGTCAACGCAATCAAAATACCATCATCCTTTTTCATAGATATAGAAAAATAATTTGACATTCGTATAGAACCAGAGAAGACCCCGTATAGCAAAATCAATCCTAGGCAATAAAAACAAAATAGGGTATCAATTTACCAGACTTCAAACTATACTACAAGGCTATAGTCATTAAAACAGCTTCTTACTGGCACAAGAACAGGGCAATTGACCAGTGGAACAGAACAGAGAACCCAGATATAAAACCAGCCTCATATAGCCAACTAATCTTCGACAAAGCAGACAAAAACATACACTGGGGAAAAGAATCCTTATTCAATAAATGGTGCTGGGAAAACTGGATAGTCACATGTAGAAGACTGAAACAAGACCCACACCTTTCACCTCTCACAAAAATTAACTCATGCTGGGTAACAGACTTGAACCTTAGGTGTGAAACTATTAGAATTCTAGTGGAAAATGTTGGAAATACCCTTCTAGACATTGGTCTAGGCAAAGAATTTATGAGAAGACCCAAAGACAATCACAACAGCAACAAAAAAACAAATGGGACCTGATCAAATTAAAAAGCTTCTTCGCAGCCAAAGAAACTGTCAAGAGAGCAAACAGACAACCCACAGAATGGGAGAAAATTTTTGCAAGCTACACATCTGATAAAGGGTTGATACTAGAATTTATTTAGAACTCAGGAAAATCAGCAAGAAAAAATCAAACAACCCTATCAAAAAATGAGCAAACGACATGAACAGAAACTTCTCAAAAGAAGACAGAACAATGGCCAACAAACATATGAAAAAATGTTCAACATCTCTAATTATCAGAGAAATGCAAATCAAAACCACAATGAGATATCACTTAACTCCAGTGAGAATGGCCTTTATCAAAAAGTCCCAAACAACAAATGCTGGCGTGGATGCGGAGAGAGAGGAACACTCCTACACTGCTGGTGGGACTGCAAACTAGTTCAACCTCTGTGGAAAGCAATATGAACTCGCTCTTGCTCAGGCTGGTTTCGAATTCCTGACCTAGAGCAATCCACCCGCCTCAGCTTCCCAGAGTGCTAGGATTACAGGTGTGAGCCACCTTGCCTGGCCTACAACTGCTTTTATTTGGAAGTTGACTATGACTTAAGAAGACGTGCCTGGTGCCAAGTTCACAACCATGGACAGGAATCGTTGGCCTTATGTGTCATTTGGTTAGAACATAGTACCCATTTAGTTAATCAAACACTAATTTTCATGTTGCTATGGTGACATGTTGCAATTGTGATTGTGTAAAATCTGCAATCAGATAACTTTAAGCAAAGGAGATTACTATCAAAAGGGTGGGTGGGCTTCATCCAGCCTATTGAAGGCCTTAGGGAAAAAAACTGAGGTTTCCCAGAGAAGAAGAAATTGTCTCAAGACTATAACATCAACCCCAGTTTCAGTGTCCAGACTGCCAGCATGTCCTGCAAATTTCAGACTAAAGACTGCCAGCCTCACATATAGATAACAGACATGCCAGCCCCCACATTTGGTAGAGCCAATTCTTTAAGATACATCATATATCCCATTGGTTCTGTTTCTCAGCAAAACCCTGACTGATGCACCATCTGAGTCCCTGGTTCCCCTGTGGACATGGCTCAGGAGCAGTATCATGACCCAAAGTCAAGAATATGGCCTGGAATGTCAGTAAGGTGGTAGGCTAGGAAGCTCCATGCCCTTGTTTCTGGTAGAAACATTGACAGGACAACTACAGACTGATGCAAATAACTGTACAGATGCTTTGGAAACAGTTAAAGATTTATAGCAACCACGTAAACACACAACCAAGAAAAAGCCACATTTATAAAGGGAGGAAACTTCATGACATTTTGCATGTTCTTACCTCACCCTCCAGCACAGCACAGAGCAGTTGAGGGGAAGGGCTTGAATTCCCAGTTTCCTTCCTCAGGCCGGAAGGAGCAGAGTGGAACTTATTTGCCAGGTTTTAACCTCCCTGTGGCTGCCTGCCTGACTGGCCTCTGTTTCAGACGAGTAAGGGAGGCACAATTCGGATGTCCGGCTGGCAGCATCTGTGGGAGGCAGTGGCGGGTGCTGCGACAAGGAGAGCTGGGGTGCAGACCTCTGCTGCCTGGGACAAGGGACACAGACAGGAAAACAGTAGAATGTTTAAGGCCCTGAGGATAAGCTGAGTGAGCCTCTTTGGGAAATTAGGACATCTAAAAGCCACTTGGGAGAAATTGGCAAAAAAAAAAAAAAAAAAATTCAACCCACAGAATGTAGGCACACACACATCCAGAAAATACCTGAGAACGTAAGCCTTCATCCCAAGCTGATCCCAAGATTCAGAGCACATTCTGCTAATTAGTTAATGCCTTCCCTGGCCATCTGCAATGACCTAGAGAGATGGCAGTTTTTGAATACCCCACTTTCAAAAACATATCACAAGGCATACAAAGAAATAGGAAAACAGAACAAAGAAACAAAATTAATCTACAGAAACTTTCCCTGAAGAAACACAGGCATCAAACTTACTTGGAAAGATTTAAGACAAGTGTTATAAATATGCTCAAACAACTAAAGAAAAATATTAACAGAGAACTAAAGGACATCATAAAAATGATATATGAACATAAGGGAAATATCAACAAAAATATAGAAATTATTTTAAAAAGAACCAAATAGGAAATTGGGAGCTGAAAATTAGTGAATCGAAAGGTTTACTAGCGGGGTTGAATATTAGACTCAAAACTGCAGAAGAAAGAATCAGCAAACTTAAAGACAGGTCATCAGTTCACAATTACCAAGCCTTGGAAAACAGAAAGAAAACAGAATAAAGAAAAGTGAGCAGAACCTAAAGGAGATATGGGACACCGGCAAGCCACCCAACACACATGAGTGTCCTAGGAGAAGAGAGAGAGAGAAAGGTGAAGAGAAGCCGGGCGCGGTGGCTCACGCCTGTAGTCCTAGCTAGCTGGGAGGCCGAGGCGGGCAGATAGCTATAGCTCATTGGTTCCACACCAGCCTGAGCACAGTGAAACCCCATCTCTATCTCTAGGAAAAAAAAAAAAGAAAGAAAGAAAGGTGAAGAGAGTACTAGAAGAAATAATGAAAACTTCCCCAAACTGCAAGAATACATGAATCTACAAATCCAAGAGATTTAAGGTACTACAAGTCAAATAAACTAAAAGGGACGACACCAGGACACATTATACTCAAACTGTTAAAAGTTGAGATAATCAAGATGGTGGATGAGAAACACCGTGAAACAGAGAATCACTGCAGAAAAGACAGATTCTAGCAGAAATCAGAAGAAAGAACCAAGCAGATGAGTACATATCAGAGGAGGGTCAGAAGAAGGGGTAACTGAGACCATGGGAAACTCCACGGGAGGAGGTTGTGGAGGAGAACTGGAAGCAGAGACCTCTGGAGCAGCCTGGGGACCAGCGGCAAGGGTAGATGGAGCGGTTAACTTTCCCCTCCCCTGCATCTCAGACTGCTAGTGTGCTCCCCAGTGGTTGGAGAGACCTGCGGACACCAGCCCAGAGACGGCCACCGCCAGCCTGTAGCGGACGCGGCACCAGGCTCCCAACTCCCTTGGGGCACCTCTGTGTGCACAGACCCGAGCCACGTGGCAGGAGCCATATTGTATCATTCTCCCCTCCCCCAACCCTATCTGTGGCTGCCAAGAGAGACAATATAGCCACCAGGCGGAGGCACCTCCAGGGACCGGGACCTTCCCTTTTGGGACCCTACAGCTGACTGAAGGGAACTCAGACTGTGAGCTCCCTACCTGTCAGCCTTCCCAGGTGCTGCTGGCCAGGTGATCCCAGGAGAACGGGGCAGACCCTGAGGCTGAGAGACATCAACCCAGCTTGGGCTCCCCGTGGGTGAATTGGGACCGGCACTCCTCTCCCTGGTGGGGATGTAGTTTGAACTCTGGGGCCCAGAGGTCAGACCTGCAGACCAGATCCGGTGCACTGAGATCTCGCATTGCCCGGAGCACAGAAGGGATATCCGTGAACAGCCTACTGAGGTGTGTGTGCTTTCAGGGGCAGATCAGCGTCCTAGAGGGCAACCCTCCCCCCAAAGGGAGGCCGTGCGCCCAGCCCAGGTGGTGTTCCTGCGCAGGGAACCTCCCAGCCGGCATCACAGCAAGGGGAGGCCTGGTGGCGTGTGGTCTGGCCTCCTGGCAGAGGCCCAGGAGTAGCCGCGGAGTTGGGGAGGGTGGAAAGAAGCCAGGCCCACTCCAGGCTGCAGGTCTCAGACAGCCCCACCCCCACATGCAGACTCTCTGACTGAGCGGGGCCATTCCAGCCCTTCCCTGACAGCTTTTCCTGGAAGCAGAGAACAGAACTTTGACCCCTGCTAACGACCTTGGTGGTGCCTGAGGGCAGGCTTACTCAACCCAGCTCGGCCCAGACTCTCCTAGACCAGCCCTCACTGAGGGGGAGAAAAGGACACACCTGGAAGTCCCAGGGCCCCACCCACTACCTGAGGCACTAGAGTGCCTCTCTACAGGAACAAGAGCTGATAACAGGACACAAAAACAACAGTGTAGGCTGTTCCTCTGAGCAAGCACCACCTACTGACAGGGAGGACATCCTGCACACCCTTTTCACGGCACCTACTGACTCATCATACAGGGAGTGGTCGAATCTCACCCACAGACACCACCTACCGGCTCAGACGCATACAAGTAGATCTACCATTTGATCCAGCATTCCACTGCTGGCATCTACCCAAAAGATCAAAAGGCACTTTATGAAAAAGATACATGCACTCGAATGTTTATAGCAGCACATTTCACATTGCAAGCTGTGGAAACAACCAAGTGCCCATCAATTCATTAGTGAATTAATAAAATGTGTATATGTCACCATGGAATACTACTCAACTTAAGAAACAATGGTGATATAGCACTCTTGTATATTCCTGGATAGATGCTGGAACCCATTTACTAAGTGAAATATCTCAAGAATGGAAAAACCTGCCCACCATGTCTCACCAGCAAATTGGTATTAACGGATCAACCCTAAGTGGACATATAGGAGTAACATTTATTGGGTGTCGGAGGGGGAAGTGGGAGGAGGGGATGGGTGTATACAACCACAATGAATAAGATGTACAACGTTTGGGGATGGACACGTTTGAAGCTCTTACTCGAGGGGGAGGGGCATGAGCAATATATGTAACCTTAACACTTGTACCCCATAATCACTAAAATAAAAAAAACATTAAAGCCAAAGACAAGGAGGAATCTGAGAGCAGGATTCACTGGGTTTATATCCTATATTATTTAAAAAAAAAATGTACAGAAAATAGTTACAAATCTGTGTTAATAGGCATACAATGTATAAGGGTGTGATGTGTTTATGTGGATCACATGAAGGGAGTGGCAGAGCTGTAAAGAAGCAGAGTTTCATGTGCAATTGAAGTTAAGTTGACTTAAATTCAACATGGATTGTCATAACCATATTGTCATATGTATTAACAGAGTAACCACAATGAAAATATCCATGGAATATACCCAAAAGGGAAGGAAGAAAAAATGAAAAATCACAGGAAATGGACTAACTGAAGCAGTAATGTGGAGATGAGAAACAAAACAGCTATGAGACATGAAGACACGAACACCAAAATCACAGAAGTAAGTCCTTCCCTGTCAGTAAGTACCTGAAATGAACAGCTATTAAATCCCACAATCAGAAGTCAGAGATTGTCACAGTGGATAGAAAAAAGGAAAACATTCAACTCTATGCTGGCTGCAAGAGATTCAAGTTGTACCTAAGGACATACACAGGCTGAAAGGGAAGATGGAAAAGGATGTTCCTGGTTCATAGGAACTAAGAATTTTTTCTTATCTCTTACAGTTCTATGGGCTGACTGGGTGATTTACCTGCAGGTTCTCACGGGGTGGCAGTCAGGTCACAGCTGGGTGGATTTCCCTACAGATGGGTGGATTTACCTGCAGGTTCTCATGTGGGTGGCAGTCAGGTCACAGCTGGGTGGATTTCCCTACAGATGGAGGGGATTTTCCTGCAGGTTCTCACGTGGGGCAGTCAAGTAGTAGCTGGGGCTGAGTCACCTGAGGGCTCAGCTGTGCTGGGTGTCCAAGGCTTCCTCTCTCCTCTGGCACCTCTGGGCTCCTCCTCATGCTTGCTCTCTAGCAGAGACAGTGGCCTGGGAGTTTTACATGGCCCAGACTTCAAGAGGAAGGAACCAGGCACAGTTAATGTGGCCGGGCGTGGTGGCTCAACCTGTAATCCTAGCACTCTGGGAGGCCGAGGGTGGTGGATTGCTCAAGGTCAGGGGGTCGAAATCAGCCTGAGCAAGAGTGAGACTCTGTCTCTACTAAAAATAGAAAGAAAATTAATTGGCCAACTAAAAATATACAGAAAAATTAGCCGGGCATGGTGGCGCATGCCTGTATCCAGCTACTCGGGAGGCTGAGGCAAGAGATCGCTTGAGCCCAGGAGTC